AAAAATGGCATGAGAACCAACTCCTTGGTCCTCATTCAAGATCCGAGTTTCTAGACTTAAAGTTAAGTGTTTCTAAGATTTTGGAAGATTATTGTTGTCGACTGTATAAGACGCACGCAACAATATGTGCGGTCAACTGAATTACAGTTAAAGATGATGCTTCACCAAATTTGTGGCCATAGGCGGCTGTCACACGTTAGTGACGAAAGGTTGAATATTGTGCGCTAAGAAGTCCCTCATCCCATTAGCCAAAGGTAAAAATAAAACCTTGTGATCATTGTTTATTTTGGCGAAGCCACACTCGTGTTTGGGAAGCAACATCGTGTCTCATTTTTGAAAAGCTCTAGAAGGAGAGACAACAAGTTGGAGTTGGTACACTCTGACGTATGTGGTCCTATGGAGGCAGAATCACTTGGAGGAAGGAGGTATTTTCTTACCTTCATTGATGATTTCTCACGAAAAACATGGATATATTTGTTGCGCACAAAAGACCAAGAATTCAAGCACTTTTAGCAATTCCATGCGATGGTGGAAATGGAGACTGGAGTGGCATTGAAGTGTTTGCGCAGGGATAATGGTGGTTAATATATCTCTAAGGAGTTTAGAGATTATTGTAGTCAGCACGGTATTAGGCATGAAAAGACAGTTCCTGGTACACCTTAACACAATGGCGTTGCTGAACGGATGAATCGTACCATTGTTGAAAAAGTCAAATCCATGCTCAAAATGACCAACTTACCTAAGCCATTTTGGGGAGAAGCTGTCAATACTGCTGTCTGCCTAATCAACCGACTACCTTCAGCACCATTGGATTTTGATATCCCGGAGAAGGTCTGGACAGGTAGAAATATTTCATACTCTCACCTGAGGGTGTATTTGGCTGCAAGGCATTTATGCATGGTCCGAGGAGGCAGAGATCAAAGCTTGATGGAAAAGTCAGTTCCTTTGGCACTTTTGTTGGTATGGAGTGAATAGTTTGGCTACATGTTGTAAGACCTAGTGAAAAAGAAAGTTGGTCCAGAGCCGAGATGTTAGTATTCCACGGAATGAGATCGTTGGTAGATACATACTGTGAAGAATCCAAAAGTGATGGTGGTGTTGTATTAACCAGGAAAGCATTCCTACAGATGAATGGCCACAGGAGGAGGATGCCAGAATCAGAACAACAACAAGAAGAAGAGCCAGTCGTAGCAAGAGAACGTAATTGTGAGATGATAAACAGTGATGCAGGAGGGTGTTGAGCAGGGGGAACAGAGAACCCCATTTACACCAGAAGGAGTTGAAAACCTCAGTTAAGAAGTGTCAACCAGAGAGCGCCAACCATCTACAAGGGTACTAGTTCTTGATTACAATGTGATTATTGATAGGGGAGCCAGGAGTTCCAAGATGTGCAATTTGCAAAGATAGAGATTGCTGGACAAGGCCATTGCAAGAAGAGATGGAATTCTTTAAAAAGAATGGACACGTATGAGCTGTGAAAATTCAAAAAGGGAGAGAACACTCAAGAACAAATGGTGTACAAATGGGAAGAAAGATGATGTGGCCATCTGTGAAGAATACAAAGCTCGCATTGGTTCGTCAAGGCTTTACTCAAAAGAAGGTATTGACTTTGATGAGATTTTTGTTTCACAGTGGGTGTTGAAAATGAGTGCTATTCGAGTTGTGCTAGGTCTAGTAGCCAGTTTGAATCTTGCTAGAGGAAGAAATCTATATGGAACAACCAAAAGGTTTCAAGGTCAAGGGAAAAGAGGACATGGTTTGTCGCTTGAAGAAGAGCTTGTACGGGTTGAAACAAACGCCATGACAATGGTATAAAAAATTTGATTCTTTCATGATAAATCAATGATACAAAAGGACAGATGCAGATCCTTGTGTATATGTACAAAAATTTCCTGATGGTAAATTTATCATCCTTCTCTTATATGTCAATGATATATGTTGATGGTAAATTTATCATCATTCTCTTATATGTTGATGATATGCTAATCATTGGACCAGATGCACACATGATTATCAGGTTAAAAAGTGATTTGTCAAAAGCATTTGACATGAAGGATTTGGGATCGGCAAGGCGAATTCTTGGAATGGAGATTATCCGAGACAGAAGTGGGCGTGGGAGGTTATTGGTTATCATAGGAAAAATATATTGAACGAGTTTCTAAAAGAGGTTTCAGTATGAAGAATGCTAAAAACTAGTTAGCACTCGCTTTGCCGCTCACTTCAGTTACGAATTAAGAAATCCTAACCCATCAATAGAGAAAGAAAAGGAGATATGTCAAATATTTCATATTCCTCAGCAGTCGGAAGTTTGATGGCAATGGTGTGTACGAGACCAGATATCGCTTATGCAGTTGGCGTTGTGAGCCGATTTCTGTCAAATCCCCAGAAGACACATTGGGAAGCAGTGAAGTAGATCTTCAGATACCCGAGAGGAACTTCAAAGTTATGTTTAACTTTTGGAGGTGAAAAGGCTGCACTTGTCAGTTACACAGATGCAGATATGGCCGGTGATCTTGATGGAAGAAAATCTACATCAGGATACCTATTTACATTTTAAGGGGGAGCTATTTCATGGCAATCAAGATTACAAAAATGTGTTTCGTTATCAACGACCGAAAAAATGTGTTTCATTATCAACGACTGAAGTAGAGTACATTGCAGCAACGGAAGCAAGAAAGGAAATGCTTTGGTTAAAACGATTCTTTCAAGAATTGGGTGTGCAGCAGGAAGAATATATAGTTTATTATGATAGTAAAAGTGCATTAGACTTGAGCAAAAATACTATGTATCATGCACGAACGAAGCACATTGATGTAAGATATCATTGGCTTAGACTTGCCATTAAAGAGAAGCAGTTCCAGTTGCGAAAGATCCAACACAGATAGCAAATGCTGTGGATATCTTGGACAAAGGTTGTTCCGAAGTAGAAGTTCGAACTGTGTGTCAAAATGGCAGGAGCATGAATGGAGAGTCCCACCATGTAGTCAGGAGGGGGAGAATTGTTGTGGGATCCCTCCAACATGTGGGACCCACACACATTTGAAAATGAAAAGAAAGAAGAAAATGAGTGGTGTTGTGGGTCCCTCTAACATGTGGGGCCCACACAAGTTTGAAGAAAGAAAAAAAAAAGATTCACGTTTTTTTTTCCGTTCAAAGAAGGCTGCGTTCAGTTGATTGCGTTAATTGCGCGCAATCGATGGATGCGTTGATTAACGCATCCGGTTTTCCCTCAACAAATTGTACAAAAACAAAAGAATAGAAATATATAGAGTGTATAGAATTTTAGGAAAGGGTTCCTAAAATTGGGAAAGAGAGAAAATAGGAGGATTATAATTTTTGGGTGTTTTTGGAAAACACTTAGAGTACCACTATTTTTGTAATCTCTATTTTTATAATCTCTTTTGTACCTACTATTTTTAGTGAACGAATTATTCGGAGTTTTTGTCCTGTGAACGTAGCCCATAACAGTTGAAGGGTAAACCACGTAAATCTCGGTGTCCTTATTTTTCATCTTACATTTACGCTAAATACTTAATTTTTACCATAGTTATTATTTCTGGTGAATTCGATTTAGATCATCGATATACAATACGTAATATTGGAGCATTTTTCCGCGGGTCCTTTACTCGGATGCAGTTATAATCCCAACAGAATTAAGGAGACGATCATGATTTAGAATTTTTTGGTCCGTTTACCGTGATTATTATTTCTGATGGATTAGATCATCGATATACAATACGTAATATTGGAGCATTTTTCCGCGGGTCCTACTCGGATCAGTTATAATCCCAACAGAATTAGGAGACGATCATGATTAGAAATTTTGGTCGTTCACCATCGGGAGTCGTGGTAATCTGGGTCGTAGTTAAAAACTGCAATTTCCACGTTAAATGTTTAAATAAAACTGAGGGAAAAAAATAACCACAATCGAAAAACAAATTACAGATTCTCACCTAGAATGTCACCGATGAAGAAAAGTTTATCAGCAGTCCACCTATCGTAGTCAAGGTGAAGATCCCAACCTTCAGAGTTACCTACATAGTACACATCTACGGAGGAGACGGAGACTGCATAGGATGTGATTGCCATGAAGATTAGTAGAGCTGCAGTATTTTGCAAAGCCATGGTATATATTAAAAGAGAGATTTGGATCAGAGGCTTGATTTCGTTTTGTGGGTTGGAAACCCTATTTGCTGCCTGTATGTATATATAACTGGCTGCTAAGCTTACAGGTAGAGATTCAGGGCCCAGATTGTATGCTCATCTAAAGAACCTTTTACTTGCTTTTTATAGTTCTTAATTAATAACGTCCTTTACGGACGCAGAGGCCTAGTGTCATGCGACTCAAGCTAGCTAAGGCATGGGTTTGGTGGAACTGATTTGGGGTATTGTGGCTTTGGAAGTGACATAAAATCACTTGTCCAGAAGAATGAGCCTCAGGTTGGCTAACGCTTCCTGCAGTGTAATTGGACCATAAGTAATTAATTGGACTTGTCATCCAAAATCCACGTAAATGATAGAAAACTAATACTATATCGGGATAATACTATCCTGACTTCAAATTCAAAATCCTCCTCAATGCTAAAGAAAGGACAAAGAATAAGAAGTTATATATATGAAAGATGTGAGTGAAAAATTCACTTAGCTTTTGTGTTAATTCATGGAGTTATCTCAAACACTTGTGGCTAAATTATCTGTGACTGTGAGAAGTTCTCAAATTAGGCAGGAAGAAGGGAGATTTTGGATGTATAAAGTGGATTAATATTATTAATTAGTACATTAGCTTTTTGAATGAGTGATTTTATAGTAAGTGTTAATATTAGAGTTAATATGATTATTCATTTCTTGAGTTTTCATAAGATACAAGCGGGTATCTAGGTGCAAGCGGACAAAATGATAAGGCATTCCTCCAAATTCGAACTTGTTTATTTATTCGAACTCATTCTAAAATTTTTTAAAATTTTAATTATATCATGTGATCCATCCATCTCAAACTTGATTATAATAATCTATTTAAATATCCGAACCCGTTCAAATATCTGTTGACACAAAAAATATTACAACTTATGGACTCAATAATTTCCCGGCGTTTCTCATCCAGCTCCAAGGAAAATACAAAGAACAAAAATTTTCCCTTATGAAGCCACAATTTAAGCAAAAGACAAACAAAATTCACAAAAGTACAGATTGGCGGACATGTAAAACCTTGATCCTATTAGCCACCAAAGGACAATAGGCACCTGAAAGTGAGTTATTTTATCAAAGGCAAGTTATTAGTATTACAAACAGAAGCAAAATATTAGGAGGTGGTTTTATGTTGCAACCACCATTTGGTAGCATAGGAAAATTGTCTGGAAGAGACATTCGACACTCCTCACCAATGAAATATATTCGCCGCGGTAATGCCCATCCATTGCTTAATGTAAATATGCTTAAATCCTTCTCTAACAGTATTTCTGTTGTTACTGAGCCTAATTGCTTCTCATTAGCTTGTAACAATTCAGTATTGTAGAACTGTAAGCCCCAGAAAAGGGCAGCTTTATCTGCAGATTCACAATTACAGGCAATTTGGATTTCACCTTAAAAGACAATTATAATAATTATACAAGGATCGCATAAGTACCTGTGAAACCAACCGTGGGTAGAATTGTACTGTTAAAGCTGTATGTAGCCGTATTCTGACTGAAACCAGGATGTTGTACTAATACATTCCAGTCTGAGTAATTTCTCTTGTAATTATAATTAGAGATTGTAAGCTTCACTCTCCAATAACTCATATAGTTTTTCATAACATGCCAATGAACTCTAACCGGGCACATATGTTCAGTGCATTGCACTACATCTGCATCATCCAAATTCGACAAGGATGAAAAGGAACCTTCCCTGGTAGTCAAAACAGAAATATTAGTTGCAAATTGTAATTAATTTCATGATAGACAGGAAATAAAAAATTGGGAATATTAATGTCAAATTGATATCAGTAATAGTAAAGCAAAAATGGGCATTACCTCAAAAACTTCCTTTTAATTTTTAGCCTAAAATTAGAAATTGGGAATAGTAATGTCAAATTAGGCCTAAGAATATACTATATACCTTATGCATGGAACTTTATTTTGGTTAGTCTCTTTGCATCCGCAGCTACACTCAGGGCAAGATGTGACTGTAGGATTGTAAAATGTTGACAGTGAAACACAACAAACAGGCTTTTTGTTAGCCAGAAAACTAGAGTAAGTGCATGTCGACTTCCATGTTCCTGCAAACAGAAAATTTATTGATGTGAGAGGGGAAGCAAACCAACCTGGAAAAAACATTTATATTGTCAATTAGTAACCTAAGAAATATTTGTTTGCAGCCTTTCAAGATAACCAAAAATTGTCGTTAAAGTTTATAGCAATTTTCATTCATTTAAGCTTTAATCTCAAACTAGTTGGAGTCTACTGTCTGAATCATTTGTATTCATTCGTTCAATTTATAACTAATGCCAAGAAGTAGTAAGTCTTTTCAGACAACTTCCCTCAACTTGATCCCAGTTTCCTCTTAGTAGTTAAACTATAATAATGCTCTAGTTGGCATAGAGTATACTTACTGTAAACCTGAACCTTTCTTCTACCCCCAAAATCTGACAACTGCGTAGGATCAGTCTCCAAAACTGGGCCACAACTGTAACCAGGACCTGGGGCTAATAACGTCAGATTCACAGGAGGAACAGTAGAACTTATATTCAAATTGCCAACGGTGATATCGAAGGAAGAGAATGCTTTAGAAGGATCAATTGCCCAAGCAGAAAGCAAGCCACCATGGCAGCATTCGTCTGATTTGTTTGCCAGTGGCGCGTCCGGCATTAGATCTGTAATGACAGGGTTTTGCTGACAAGAGTGTGGTTTTTGGTATCTGAAGGATGAGCAATCGCCTTGTACGGTGGCAAATGCTCCGGACATTGACCAGATTATCTCTTTATTAGTCCATGCCCACCCTATGCTCCACCCAGGTTTATCAATATGCCGGTACTGATAGTAGTTTTGGATAGTTACCCTTGCCTGTGGAAAATGAGGATAAATAGTTTCAATTTAGTAGCAAATCTTTAATTTTAATCAATTTAGTTTTAGTTTCAGTTTAACTCATGTTTGCTCCAATCAAATATGACTGCATTTCAAGATCATTTCAATTAGCAAGAAGACTTTAAACAGAAACCTAATTGCATTACATGTAAAAAGTATACTAACCACATATCCATCATTTGCCCATTCATGTATATCAAAGGTAATGGTGATGTTCCCATTAGGATCCAAAGGGTCAAAGCAATCTGCAAAGTCATAACAAAACCTCATTATTAATCACCAAGAATCATTCTTCTAGCGAACTAAAAATTTAAAAAAATCAAAGAAAATCAAAGAAAGGAAAAGTTGAATATGCCTGAAAATCGGCAGGTAGCAATTAACAATATTAAGATGAGGGCAGAAGAGTTCTGAACACAAGACATATATAAAAGTATCATATGTGTGTTAATTAAAAGGATAAAGGTTACTGTTAATTATAGTTTAGGGAAGACAAGAATGGTTTTGATCATTTGCTACATGATCAAGAAGAGAACAGTAAACTGGTTTAGGATATTCATGGATGAAAACAAAAATGATACATAGGAAATATCAGTTGAATATGTTTAATTATTTACCAAGGAAGAGGTATTTGGCGAAGTTGTCTTCTTTATTTCAGATCAAATGTACTTAACAAAAAAAGATTCCTTGTACTGTATGCATAAAAAAAAGCAGAAGTTCAATATTCGAAGATTTTAATTGTCTTATTTAAATAGCATATGATCCAAAACGTACTTCTGAGTAAAAGGACGGACACATTTAATCCTTTGGACAGTAGTGAAAATAATATCAGGATTGATAATCACAATAACAATTGTCACTTAATTATGATAAGTTTAGACCGTAGCTATCGTTTTCGATACAATTTTTTTTAGTAGTTTTAATCTTACTCTAAATCGTTTTTTGATATCCGAAGACTTCTATCAATTTTGGGTTTAAAAGAGCTTTCTTCTTCAAATGTTAGTATTCTCTAATTTATCAACTCATAATTTGGCTCAAATCTCAATTAGCAAAGTTACAGCGGTAATTTAGTGTAATTAAATGTATTTTTAATATAAACCTGGAGGACATCCAAAAATATGAATACCTAAAGAAAAAGTAAGTATGGCAAGAAATTATATGAGAAGATTATAATTTTTTAATTATAACTTTTTTTTCCATAGTGCAATAGTTGCATCGAATTGTTTATGAAACAAAGGTCCTCCCAAGCACACTAGACATGTTTATCTCAAACAAAGTCATCTTGTTTAGCAAACGACACTCAAACAACTGAAAACCATCTATTTTTATTTCTTCCTATGCAGGCTACAGTGACAACTGACATGAAATAACCAACTCGACATATTCTTCGTTTCTACTACTAGGATCTATTAATTTCCCAAGCATATTAATTCACCGACCGGAGAAGGCGAGAACTTGAGCCTACCATTCATCAGGATACGGTTCACTATTTGGCAAAACAGTTTCAGCATCCTCAACCTGGATAAAAAGCTTCTGACCAGCTTCGCAATGGCCAGGGAAACCGCATATGAAGAAGAAATCGCCTTCACTTGTAAGAGTGATAGAGTCATGACCAGAGGCATAACTTGAATTAGGAGACGATCCATCGCATGATAAGAAATTTTGGTTCTTCACCAGCAGGACGTTGTGGTAATCTTGGTCGTAGTTAAAAACTGCATTTCCACGTTAAATATTTAAACTATAACTGAGTAAAAAAAAAACCCACAATCAAAAAACAAATCACAGATTCTCACTTAGAATGTCACCAACGAAGAAATGCTTATCAGCAGTCCACCTATCGTAGTCAACGTTAAGATGCCAACCGTCAGAATCACCTACCGTGTACACAGTTTTGGAGGAGACGGAGGCTGCACAGAAGGTGATTCCCGTGAAGATTAGTAGAGCCGCAGTATTTTGCAAAGCCATGGTATATATTAAAAGATAGATTTGGATCAGAGGCTTGATTTCGTTTTGGGGATTCAAAACTTACTTGCTGCCTCTATGTTTATATAACTGGCTGCTAAGCTTACAGGTAGAGATTCAGGGCCAGATTGTATGTCATCTAAAGAACGTTTTACTTGCTTCTTATAGTTTTTAACTAATAACGTCCTTTACGGACGCAGAGGCCTAGTGTCATGCGACTGATGCTAAGGCATGGGTTTGGTGGAATTGGGTTCGGGTAATCACTTGTCCAGAAGAATGGGCCTCAGGTGGGCTAACGCTTCCTGCAGCGTAATTGGACTTGTCATCCAAAATGATAGATAGAAAAATAACTATATTAGGATGATACATTTTACCCTGACTTCAAATTCAAATCCTCCTCGATGCTAAAGAAAAGAATAAGAAGTTATATATATGAAAGATGTGAGTCTGATTTTCTTTTGAATTAGTGCTAAAATCTTTTTTTTTTTTTTGATTCTAAGATTAGTTGAATTCTAAAATCATAAGACAACCTTAATTTTCTTATTTGTTGTATAGATATTTGAGTTTCATTTTCTTGTTTATTAGTTAATGTTGGCTCTATTAGCAAATAATTAGTTCGTTAAAATTGAGATTAGATTTAATATAATACAAACAATTGTCTAGTTAATAATATATAATTAATTTAGTATGTTATATTAAAAGTATAACACTATTATCATATATTATTTATTATATTGCAAAAGCTCCGAATTAGAAAGTTTTGTCCAATCTTAATTAGGAATGATTAGTTTAGCTTGATTCTACAAAATTTACATTTCAAATTACCTCAATACCCTTATACTAATTTTCTAACACTAAACTCTGTTGCTTTCGTGTCTGTATAATTCGTTTTAATGTAATTGTTTTGTTTCAAAATATAAATTGTTTTGAGTATTTTAAGAAATAATAAAGAGAGAATATTTTTTTTCGTCCCAGAGGATTTATAACATTATCAACTCGTCTTTATATTTTTGTAGATTAGACATTTAGTCTTTGAGATTTGATTATGTTTCATTAAATAGTCATTCCATATAAAACCAGGCTCCTTTTCCATTAGATGAGGGTAAAAAGTCGAAAATATCCTAAAGCTAAAAGACAACTTTCTCTCGCTGTGGAGTTGGACCAAAACACACACAATTCACTCACTCACTCTTTACTTTCCTTGCATTCCATTTTTACAAGTCCTCTTGAAACTCTATAATCTCTATATCAATGTTGCTTACTGTGAAATTTTACCTCATAATACAATAATAAAAGCAAATGACAAAAAACATAAAACAACATCCCGAAGTCCACCACATCTACCTAAGCTTCCATCCCTCATCCCACCAAGGCCACTAAAGCCATCTCCCTCATGCCACCAAAACCCCCAAAATTGCAATGACTACCATCACCACAAGAATCAAAAAGATGGATTTCGCCTAGATCCTGACCAACATTAGTCCAATCATGCCAAGCCATCTCTCGCACATCTAGGGGCACAAGGTGGTTAACTCCCTCTAGAACTTTGACCAAATCGGCAATATATTTCCAATCTTGCTAAGAGAAAATGATATGAGAAACACATGTTGCACCACCCTTTTCAGTTCTACCAATTCGGTGGAAATAATTCTCAATTTCAATAGGAAAATTATAATTTATCACTGTTGTATCATGAAAAGACAAAGTGACATTCAAAAAATAATTTTGTGTTCAAATACTACTATTAGACAATACAAAATATTCAAATAGTAACTCCCATATTTCCCGTATCTCCACTAATAAATCTACATAAATTATATATGTACAATATATAGAAATGCGAGAGAGTTAACCTTATGTTTCTGATATCAAGACCTGGGGCAACAAAATTTGTGACAACTAAATGTTGGATTTAATTTTCTATTGTGGGCTTAATATGTAAAATTAAATATGTACAGCAGTCCAATTGTAAAGTCAATTTCAAATGTGGTAAATCTACATAAATTATATATGTTTACAATATATAGAAATGCGAAGAGAGTTAACCTTATGTTTCGATACTCAAGACCTGGGGCAACAAAATTTGTGACAACTAAATGTTGGATTTAATTTTTCTATTGTGGGTTGTGGGCTTAATATGTAAAATTAAATATGTACAACAGTCGTAAAGTCAATTTCAAATGTGGTCTTGATTGTGAATAATTGACTATTGAGGTATCAACTGATTATAAATATTAAGTGTAGAGACCATTATATAATTTTTATTTTGTTAAAGGACCGAAATAGAAATTATACTAACGCTACAGGTATATAAAGGTAGTGGTCCCCAGAGGAGTTGAATACGATTCAATTTTACGTTCCTTTCGTATTGCTTCCGCTAATCGATTCTTCAATTCTCTGGAAGGCTGCAAACCTAATTCTACACATCAAGATCGACCAACAACGATGTCAGGTACGCAACCTTTTTTCTTAATCAATCTATTTGTGAATCTAGTGGTTTGCACGATCTAGGTTATATTGTGGAATTATTTGAGGATTAATTCTTAACAAGTGGTATCGAGCCTTGTGCATAATTTTGCTAGATTTTAGATTGATTTTCGTATGGTTTTTTTTTTTATTATTATTATTATTTGTTTACCCTACTGTTTACGGATCGAGGGTTTTGTTTAATAAAAAAAAAAAATAAAAAAAAAAAATAAAAAAAAAGAAGTCGGCGGCACCTGTTATTTTCCTCCTTAATCGTTTTTGGTTTTTAGGGTTAGGGATGGAAAATAACGGTTAGGTCCCTGAAAAATTTTAGATTAGGTCCTTAATTTTTTATTTTTTCAGATTAGGTCCCTAATTTTTCTGTAACTTCAGATTAGGCCCCTAATTTCTGTAACTTCAGATTAGGCCCCCTAATTTTCTGTTTTTTTTTTCGTATAGACCCATAAACATATATTTAATTAAATTAGACCTTCGAACTTTATTTATTCAAATTTATTTAGTCCAATTTTATAACTTAGTCTCTAATTTAGTGACTTAAAGACTAGATTATATATATATATATTTTTTTTTGGGCTAAATAATTTTAGAAATAATTTTAGATTATTAAATATTTAGACATTCAATTCATTTAATTGCAATTGTTTTGTTTTAATTACAATTAATTTGTCGACTTGAGATTAAATTTTGGAGTGATTAAGTCCCTATTGTGTTTAATATTTGTTAAAATAAATTGATTTGATCAATAAGTCACCCACCAAATGACCTCTATTGCTGAATTGATTTATTTTTAGAATATTAGACAGGTGTATAGAATTCGTTTGCGGATAGTTATCGGCCCAAAGGGAAGGTTACTATCTGGTGAGTTTGTGAATACAGTGGCAATAAGAATGTCGATAATTGCAATAAGTATGTGATAATTGTTTGATTATTTTCCATGACAATGATATATCGGTCCAAAGGAAGATTTATTATTTGTCAGGACTATGTTATCAATATTTGATTGCTGCGTTGAGATACTAATTACAAGTGAATATTTTACATCCAAATGAGAATATTAATGTTGTGTCTGTATCTTATTTCCATTTTTGATCTCTACTTATGTGAATTGTTTCATTTGTGAATTGTGAGCTTATACTTATCTATTCGTTTATTTTCTCTGCTGTCAGCTAACATGTCATTTAATCCTGATTGTGTCCCTAAACTTGAGGGATCAAATTTTGAGTCTTGGAAATCAGACATTATGATTTTTGTGGGCTGTATGGATTTGGATCTTGCATTGAGGATGGACGAACCTGCTCCTCTTACTGCTACGAGCACTGATGTTCAAAGGGTTCAGTATGAGAAGCGGGAGCGTTCTAATCGCTTAGGTCTGATGATCATGCAGAAAGGAGTACCAGAACATGTTCGAGACTCTGTCTCAGCTGAAAAGAACAATGCTCAAAACTATCTTGCCGAGCTGGAGAGGGCTTATGTCAAGAATGACAAAGCCGAATGACAAAGCCGAAGTGAGAACACTTTTAGGAAAATTAACCTCCATGAAGTTTGCTGGCAATGGTGGTGCTCGGGAGCATATTCTTAGCATGTCTCAGATTGCAAAGAGACTGAAGGTGCTGGGTATGGCTTTACCAGATGACCTTTTAGTCCATTTGGTTATGAATTCTCTTCCTTCTCAGTATGGACAAATTAGGACTTCCTATAATTGTCAGCCGAATAAATGGACTCTTAACGAGCTCATTTCTCATTGTGTTGATGAGGAGGAGGAAAAGATGAATTCTAACAAAAGAGAGAGTGCTCATTTTGTTTCTTCAGCTGAGAAGGGCAAGAACAAGAAAAGAAAGAGGCCTTCTGCAAAGACTGTTGAAAAGGCTATTGAGAAACCTGCTGTTGCTACTGCTGTAGATCCAGTACAAAAGAAGCCTTATGTGCCAAAATGCTTCTTTTGTGGAAAGACGGATCACTTGAGAAAGGACTGTCCTAAATTTGCTAATTGGCTTGCAAAGAGGGGTAAGTACCTTGTAGTACCTTGTTTTAGTCTGTTATGAAGTTAATTTAACTTCAGCTCCTAAAAACACTTATTGGATGGATTCTGGTGCTACCGCTCATATAAGTGTTTCATTGCAGGGCTGCCTTAACTACAGAAAGCCAACTGACGGTGAAAGAATGTAGGAAATGGCGATCCGGTTGAAGTAGAGGCAATTGGACATTTTAGATTATGTTTAAATAAATTATAAACGATACTGTGACATCCTACCGAGTCGAGTCTTAGAGTCGAGTCGAGTCGAGTCGAGTTGAACCAAACCCGGTTGGGGTAGAATGGGATTATAAGTGGACTTACTTGAGTGAGAGAAAATTATCTATGAATTAAAAAGTTTTGGGTACTGGGTTGCTTGATGGTTGCTTGAATGAATGTGATAATCTATATATGTTAGACATTGATACTAGTTATCATGAATCCCTGCATGTTACTACAAGAGGTACCAAAAGAAAATTGAATATTGATAACTCAGTTGTACTTTGGCATAGACGTTTGGGTCATGTATCCAAATCAAGGATTGAGCGTCTTGTTTCTGATGGTATCTTAG